TCTGTGGGGCTGGCTCTGTGGGGCTGGCTCTGTGGGGCTGACTCTGTGGGGCTGACTCTGTGGGGCTGGCTCTGTGGGGCTGAATCTGTGGGGCTGACTCTGTGGGGCTGGCTCTGTGGGGCTGAATCTGTCGGGCTGGCTCTGTGGGGCTGAATCTGTGGGGCTGAATCTGTGGGGCTGGCTCTGTGGGATTTTGGGACAATGCTTGAAAATTATAATATTACATAATTTAAAGACTAATATGATTAATATATGCAGTCAATAGGTCGGCTCATGTCATGGATGTATAAATTAAATATTCCAACCTTGTTCGATTTTTCACTGCAATGCTGTCGACCGCAGCAGTGATTTTATTTCATGCTGGACTGTTCCGACTTTGTTGCCACTTTTCAGGCTGACCAATACAACCAGCTGGTCAAACTAGACCCAGTTTCTCTTCTTGGCCGTGTTACGCCTCTCAATGTCGTAAACTCTTGGGGCAGGGCCTCCAAACCCAGAATATAGACCCTTTTACTGTAAGTAAATAGTATGACTTTTTTTTTTGGTGTGCAGGGTTTAGCTGGTGGCAAAACAGTTCTCCACAGACATTAGCTAGCGCTACTTAGCAGGTTCTGTTGGCTTGTTTTAGTCAATGGAAGAAGATGATGTGAGTGGTGTGTTCAGAAATACTCATGTTAGTGTAGAGCATCAGACTGAATTTACCAACGCACCATGTCAGGTCACTCACTCTCCGGGACCGCCAGTGTTACTTGAATAAGTAAACACTGACCAACGGGACCAGACTGGCCGACCCGTATGCTCTCACTCAGTGGATGGATGATGTCACAGGAAGCCAATCTTACAAAGGAGGACCACACTTGTTTGTTTTGCTATGGAAGCTAACGCTAGCTACTGTGCTAAAAAGTTAGCGTTCCAGAGAAATCCAATCTTCCTCTTAATCCCTCCCCAGTTTCTGATGAGGTGGACATGATAACCCTTAATACACATAACCTTATTCATCCCTACAACAGGAAATACTTTTTCCCTAACCTGATATGAAGTGTGCGCTGCACATGTGAGCATTTTTGATGATGGCCTCCGTCCAGTCCTTTGGTCTTATCACATTTAACCATAGTTGTCTTTGTTTTTGTTGACGGGCAGTGGCGGCTGGTTTTGAGCCATGACTCCTTCTATTCTGGCTCCCAATAACACAACAAGACAAACACATTTTAACACTCCTATGGAGCCTACAGCCCTGTGGGGGAGAGGCAGCACAGACAGTAACTAAAGGTACAGTACAGGCCAAAAGTTTGGACACACCTTCTCATTCAATGCGTTTTCTTTATTTTCATGACTATTTACATTGTAGATTCTCACTGAAGGCATCAAAACTATGAATGAACACATGTGGAGTTATGTACTTAACAAAAAAAGGTGAAATAACTGAAAACATGTTTTATATTCTAGTTTCTTCAAAATAGCCACCCTTTGCTCTGATTACTGCTTTGCACACTCTTGGCATTCTCTCCATGAGCTTCAAGAGGTAGTCGCCTGAAATGGTTTCCACTTCACAGGTGTGCCTTATCAGGGTTAATTAGTGGAATTTCTTGCTTTATCAATGGGGTTGGGACCATCAGTTGTGTTGTGCAGAAGTCAGGTTAATACACAGCTGACAGCCCTATTGGACAACTGTTAAAATTCATATTATGGCAAGAACCAATCAGCTAACTAAAGAAAAACGAGTGGCCATCATTACTTTAAGAAATGAAGGTCAGTCAGTCCGGAAAATTGCAAAAACTTTAAATGTGTCCCCAAGTGGAGTCGCAAAAACCATCAAGCGCTACAACCAAACTGGCACACATGAGGACCGACCCAGGAAAGGAAGACCAAGAGTCACCTCTGCTTCTGAGGATAAGTTCATCCGAGTCACCAGCCTCAGAAATGGCAAGTTAACAGCAGCTCAGATCAGAGACCAGATGAATGCCACACAGAGTTCTAGCAGCAGACCCATCTCTAGAACAACTGTTAAGAGGAGACTGCGCCAATCAGGCCTTCATGGTCAAATAGCTGCTAGGAAACCACTGCTAAGGAGAGGCAACAAGCAGAAGAGATTTGTTTGGGCCAAGAAACACAAGGAATGGACATTAGACCAGTGGAAATCTGTGCTTTGGTCTGATGAGTCCAAATTTGAGATCTTTGGTTCCAACCGCCGTGTCTTTGTGAGACGCAGAAAAGGTGAACGGATGGATTCCACATGCCTGGTTCCCACTGTGAAGCATGGAGGAGGAGGTGTGATGGTGTGGGGGTGTTTTGCTGGTGACACTGTTGGGGATTTATTCAAAATTGAAGGCACACTGAACCAGCATGGCTACCACAGCATCCTGCAGCGACATGCCATCCCATCCGGTTTGCGTTTAGTTGGACCATCATTTATTTTTCAACAGGACAATGACCCCAAACACACCTCCAGGCTGTGTAAGGGCTATTTGACCAAGAAGGAGAGTGATGGAGTGCTGCGGCAGATGACCTGGCCTCCACAGTCACCGGACCTGAACCCAATCGAGATGGTTTGGGGTGAGCTGGACCGCAGAGTGAAGGCAAAGGGGCCAACAAGTGCTAAACACCTCTGGGAACTCCTTCAAGACTGTTGGAAAACCATTTCAGGTGACTACCTCTTGAAGCTCATGGAGAGAATGCCAAGAGTGTGCAAAGCAGTAATCAGAGCAAAGGGTGGCTATTTTGAAGAAACTAGAATATAAAACATGTTTTCAGTTATTTCACCTTTTTTTGTTAAGTACATAACTCCACATGTGTTCATTCATAGTTTTGATGCCTTCAGTGAGAATCTACAATGTAAATAGTCATGAAAATAAAGAAAACGCATTGAATGAGAAGGTGTGTCCAAACTTTTGGCCTGTACTGTATATGAACTGCTTCATTCTGTTGGAATATGTGAGTACGAAGCAACAAAAGGAAATGCACTGAATAGAGATAATACAGCAAAATAAGCTTAGTTCCTTTTGTATGTGTTTGAAACTTATATTGTCAGTTTTGTACTCTACAAATGAATCTTCTACAGACAGATCTCGACATATCTCAGGTTACAACATGGTGAAGTGACTTTCTGTGGGTTTATCTTCCACTAACTTGGTGATTATACGGTATTAAAACAATAATCTGCTCCTGCTGGAGAAAGTTAACTCTCTGTGTTAAACTTATCGGAGCTTTTCTTCCTATTTCCTGTCTGAAGCCTCTCTGCCTCCGTCCTCTCACCCAGATTAAGATGACAAATTTGTTTACAACTCGGGTGTAATTTTCCCAAACTCTCCTCAGAAAGGCTGTGATTCTTCCTCCTCCTCCTCCTCCTCCTCCTCCAGCGTCCACAGAGATTAATTCACCCAGTTCAGGGTCATTTTTTTGTCTTGCGATCGGCCGGCGGCCTGCACTGGTCAGCCTCCGGGCCAGAGAGGAACAAGTGATTTTTAAAAACAGAGGAGGAGTGCAGGGCTCTTATCTCCTCCAGACGTCTTTTCATTTCATTACCGAGAAAACAGAGAGAACTGGGAACCAGCTGAGTTCTTAACTTCTTATATTCTACTCATTTCCACGGCTCTCTTATCTACACACACTCATGAGGAGTTATGATGAGGCTGACAGGAAAATAAACTTCAGTTTTATGGATCACCAACAGTAATGATGAGTCAGGAGGTCAGAGGTCAGAGCAGTCAGTGCGTTTACATGCACTGAAGTGGGCCACAGCCAAGATTTAAGATAAGATGGCACTTTATTTATCCTGAGGGAAACTGTGGTGCTGCAGGTGCAATACAAAGTAGGGCACAGAGAAAATATTAAAACATAAACAATAAAGACGATCAAGAAGGCGCAGAAACCAAACGGGTTACAGGCTGATACATCAGACAAACGTGGAGGAAGGAGAAACCTTGACAGTCTCACCTGAAGATGTCTCGAAATGGAAGAAATATATATTCTAATGTCTTCTGTGTGTGTGTGTGTGTGTGTGTGTGTGTGTGTGTGTTTAGTGGAGAGGGAGTCGTCTCGTGTGTCACTAAGGAGGTCGTTGGAGGTCAAAGCTCGCTCGTCTGGGCTTGGCTTTATGGCGCCAAAGCTCGAACCAACGTATTCAAACACAGTACAGCTAACAAGGGGTGAGTTCACACACACACACACACACACACACACACGCGTGCGCTATTGACAAGTTTTGCCTCCAAAGTGTTAAACTCTCTGAAAACTGAAGTCCTGGGGGGTCACAGGGGGTTGTTGTTTATGATCCTGTTTTAAATCGATCTTAAATAAACAGCTTTAAGAGCGAGAGCGTTCCAGAAATACGGAGAGTCACTTGTGAAGCAACATTTCATCCACCACGTATCCAACCAGAAGCTCCATCACTTCTTTGTAGCTGCAGCTGTCCACCAGTAAAATCCATTTTTCTGTTGTTGAGCCAGTGCAGAGCTACAGCCGACCTCCACAGCCAAGGAAGGCTCACCTTTGGTCGGGGGTATTTCCTGGAGCGTCACGTTGTTGTGCTGTCGGTCGTAGTCAGTGTTTCAGACCAGAGGTTTGAGGACGTGTTTTTTGTAGTCAAAAATGTTTGTCTGACTACATGCCATATCATCTTGTTCATGATAACACTGATATAATCTTTAATATGATATGAAATATTCATATCATGATACTCACTATATTTGGACTTGTCGACATATAATGACGTCATACTGTTACCCACGGCAACAACAAGCATGGCTGAGAGCTAAATCCTGATGGACTCCTCTGTGGTTCCAGAAAGAGGAGCAGCTTCAGTAGTGTGGAATAAAGTGTGGCATCCTGAATGTTTTCCTTCTCTTAGCGCTCAGAGGGAACTCATTCAGCGGCTCCTCTGGCAGCAGCACAGCGTCTCTCCCTCTCCTCTCTGATTCTGTCACAAACCTTTGGTGATGGAAACCTACGTGAATAAACTCCATATATGTGACTGTATCATAACAGCCTGTCACAGGTTACAGCCTGATGATAAGAGATGATTTATATATATATAGATCCAAGGGGACATTTGTTTAAATGTGTAATTAGTGCTAGATTTGATTTACTTGAACTATTAATATTGTGACAGAATATGAATCTGACTCTGAGTTACTGTTGTTGTTCACAAACTAAAGAAATGAAACATCATTTTAGTTTTTACTGAAGATTTGAAGCAAACTGTGAAACTACATCACTGATTCTGTTGCAGTTCTGTCTTCTTAAATTAAGAATAAAATATTGTCATATGGTCAAGAATATCGTTATCACAAAACACCCTGAAATATCCTGATATTATTTTAGGGCCATATCGCCCACCTCTACCACCTGTAGCAACAGTGATCTTATCATCTTTCCTTCTGACAAAATCAAAGTAATGGTCATATTTTCAGATGCTAAGGTCAGCATTTCCATCCTCAAAACTAGCTTGCTGCTTCGTGACTTCCCTGCGCAGCGCGGCGATTACGAAATGAATCTGCTGAGGTAATTGCTGTATTTTAAGTCAGTGATGGAGTGATGACAAAAGTAATGTTGTAACGAGTTGTTTGGTTTTGGGGTAACTGATATTATCACTGAAGTTTTATTAAGGGTTACGTGTTAAGACACAGAATTTGTGGTGGTGTGTCATTGCATCTCGCCAGTAAAGGGGCTAAAATTAGCGTGTTCACATGCGTGTTGTATTTCCGTCAGAGCTGATAAATACACGTGACTACTACAAAATCATTTGTACCAGGAGTGAATTCCAGTTGTAACCTTTCCCATTGCATTAAATAGCCAGATGGTAGCAGGTTTTTTGTGCAGTGAAAAGGGGTCTAACCATTCGGCCTCTGAGGCTGAAAAACATGTTAAATTTTGGTGTTAAATAGATTAACTGCCACCTTTCTAAATGAATGTTTATGGCCAACCTCCTCTGCCAAGATTTCACAGTCACAGCTTTATATTTCTCATGTTTACAGGCTCATTTACTCATTACTGTTTAAACATGTGGTTGTAATTATTTACTTGGAAACAGGAAAAATATGAAACATTTCCTGAAAAGACTGAAGCTTAAAATGCATCTACAGTCTTTGTAAAACAGGATGTGGATTCATGGAATAAACTCTGATCAGTATCAGTGTTTTAAAAGCCTCCTAAGTGTGGCGTCTGCACACATGTCAGCGCGGGCCTCTAACAGCACTCCTCTCTGAATTATTTCCTCTCTTTTTATTCCTCATTAGCTTTGCTAAGTGGCCAAAACGCCACGCTAACTCTTAGCACGCCGCCTGCCTGCTCCCGGGCCAACAGATGTAAAGTGTCCGAGCTGTCTGACAGCCCGGTGGCGATGTATCACCCTGTTTATTCAGCCAAACGCTGCAGATTAATTGCTCTGTGAAGGCCAGGGTTAGCAATGCTAATTTAATCAGAGACGCTTGTTGTAACACGGCCAGACCTGCTGCAAAATACCTCCAACATGTGAGGAGATTTGTGAGAACATGGAGGTGTTTTTTTTTAGCTCAGCAGAGGTGGTTTCCTCCCTGAAAGGGTCAGAGATCAGACTGAGGGTCTCGTCTGTAGAGAGTCGCTCTGAAATCTGCTCTGACTTTGACTGTTTCATGTTCAAACTGCTGCTCTGGAAGAAACACTTATTCTTCTGTGATTTAAGAACTTGGTGTTGTTGCTGTGTGTGTGTGTGTGTGTGTGTGTGTGTGTGTGTGTGTGTAAATGCATTAAACACACACACACAGTCTCCACAGCTGAAGTTGCTTACTGTACAGTTTACATTTGAGTCATTTAGCTTTTTGCTTCTAACCGGTGAATTCCAATGAGGTGACCGTCAGCCTGCAGCACAACTACAGTACAAGTATTCTTCTGGCTCTGCTCCAGTACTACTAGCTGTGTAACAGCACTACATACACTCACTGTCCACTTTATTAGGTACACCTGTTCACCTGCTAGTTAACACAAATATCTAATCAGCCAATCAGGTGTCAGCAGCTCATTAACATTTAGTCATGGAGACATGGTGAAGACGAGCTGCTGAAGTTCAAGCGGAGCATCAGAATGATGAAGAAAGGTGATTGAAGTGACTTTGAACGTGGCATGGTTGTTGGTGCCAGACGGGCTGGTCTGAGTATTTACTGGGATTTTCAGCACAACCATCTCTAGGGTTTACAGAGGATGGTCCCAAAAAGAGCAAATATCCAGTGAGCCAAAATGCCTTGTTGATGCCAGAGGTCAGAGGAGAATGGCCAGACTGGTTCAAGATGATAGAAAGGCAACAGGAAGTCAAATAAGCACTGGTTCCAACCAAGGTGTGCAGAAGAGCATCTCTGAAGCAACAACACCTTGTCCAACCTTGAAGCAGATGGGCTACAGCAGCAGAAGACCACACCAGGTGCCACTCCTGTCAGCTAACAACAGGAAACTGAGGCTACAATTCACCAAAACTGGACAATAGAAGATTGGAAAAACCACATTCAGATGGAAGCATGGATCCATCCTGCCTTGTATCAACGCTTCAGGCTGCTGCTGCTGGTGTAATGGTGTGGGGGAGATTTTCTTAGTACCAACTGAGCATGGTTTAAACACCACAGCCTACCTGAGTATTGTTGCTGAGCGTGTCCATCCCTTTATGACCACAGTGTACCAACAAGGTGTACCTAATAAAGTGGCCAGTGGGTGTATATCCCTGTTGGTACGAGTCTCCTACCTCAGCTGATTACTAGTTTCATAGGTGTTAATGTCTCTGTGCCGGCGATAGCTGTGGCTGGAGGCATTATGTTCCGTGTTCAGTGTCTGCATGTACGTCTGTCCGTGTCATTCTTGTGAACACGATATCTCAAGAACACCTGAAGGGAATCTACTCAAATTTGGCACAAACGTTCACTTGGACCTAATGATGAACTGGTTCGTTTTTGCTGGTCAGAGGTCACTGTGACCTTGTCTGTGTCATTCTTGTGAACACGACATTACAAGAACACTGCAAGGGAATTTCCTTCATTTTGACTCGTATGTGACGACCTGTCACAGGCATAAAAAAACCCAGCTTTTCAAGGCTCTGGGAAAATTTCACAATTTAAAACCTACAAGGATTAAAAATGTGTCCTGTCAACAATGTTACTGATGCCAGTTTAGAATTGGAGTTCTGCGAGACATAATGGTTTTTGGGCTGCAGAGCTGCCTCAGGAATTTCACTGTAGTTTGCATTAAATTAAATTTTTCCAACCTCTCCATTTTTTTGAACACCACTGGTCGGTCCTGCATCGCCTGCGCTTCAACAATACCTCATATGTGAGAAACTGTCTGCAGTCAAGGCAGAGGGTTAAAGGAACCAGCTGTACTATCAGGATATAATCCCAATATATTATTCTCCTGAAAATACAAAGAGAGGCAGCAAAAGACGCCGCACTTTGGAGTATAAATACAAATAAATCATCATCTGTCAGTGCAGTAATATATATATCTTGTATTTTGGCAGAGTACTAGTACACATGGCACGACTCTCACAGCAGTACTTCTGCTGCAGTATCACTTTCAGTGTGTGTTGTGTTACAGTACCTGAGGTTGTAGCTGATGAGCTGTTGGAAGCTGCTGTGTTTTAATGGCTGAATTGTAATTTTACATCTGTTCCACTGCTTACACAGGCTGTTCTCTGTTTGTGTGTGTGTGTGTGTGTGTGTGTGTGTGTGTGTGCGCAGCTACAGATGCAGAATTGTGGGCTAAATGGGAGCAGGCTCTGGGACCAAAGTACCAAGTTCTGGTGAGACCACACAATTTGACACATTTTTGCTGATACTGTCCGTCTTGAATGTTCAATTATTATAATTTCATCTACACCTTTCTTGTGTGTGTGTGTGTGTGTGTGTGTGTGTGTGTCGTCAGGTGGTGAAGTTAGATCCTGTCATTGAAGACGATGCAGAGCTGCAGAAATCCTCCAAGGTGAGAAACAGACGTCTAAACTGGAGCTTTGTTTCGCTGAACTTCAGCTCTGACTCTCTGCCCGACCCCGATTGGGCCCGGCGCGTCCCGCCTGGTTCAGTCTGGGACGTTCTGTAATTTTTTATTGTTGCCACCGGGTTTGAATCAGGTCGGGTTCACGCCAAGTTACCTGTGTTTTTTTTTTTTTTATTTCTTAGTTTTATGAAACTGGCAGTTCTCATGAGTCTCATAAGTTTTCTTTTGTTTATATTTATTAGTTTTTGAGTTAACAAAACACCAACACCAATAACAAAATAAAACATGAGGGAAAAAGGGAACAGAGGATGGGCAGGAGATGCCACTGCCTTCAGTTTACAGCTTTTTGAAACATGTCTTCAGACCAGCTGACTGAACAACACCTCTCTTCTCTTATAGTCTGTCCATTTGTCCCGGCATCGTACATGTGTCATTGCTTTAGTCCTCAGGTGAGAGGACAGTGTTTCCATAGAATATAGTTCCTCTACAGTGGTTGTGTTTCAGCCAGTTCCTAGTAATGGCCTTTTTGCATGCCAGTAAAAGGATTTTGAACAGATCAGTGTCCCTCTTATGAATAACGTCCTCAGGTGTCGATCACAAGTACATGATCCGTGGGTCCCTTGGGATCTTGTGACCTTAAATTCCTCCAAGGATCAGAATAACCCCTGCATGAGTAAACTTTAACAGTGTAATGCTTCATCAACACACTGTCGCTGTCACAGCTTAGGAAGGCAGACTGCAATCATTAGCTAAGTGACAACTTTGTTTGGCTCATAATCTGTCGCCACTGTATCATTAGCATTAAAGCATGGTAGAATTAACAAGCTAGCTAACTAGCCAGCCGAGGTCAAAATGGCAGTTTTGGTCGGAGGAAAGAGAAAATCAGTTCATCAGTTTGTTTGAGGGACAACAATGTCTGAATGACACAGAAGCCTTAAAATTTGTGAGAACTTGGCTCTGATAGTGGCCGCCACTTCCTGTTTCAAATTTAAAGCCCTCTAGTGTTTCAGAAATGGTCCAGTCATACACAAGGTTTTTATTTCTCCTATTCTTGTTGTATATACCTCTTATTATTTATTTATTTATTTATTTCTGTATTTCTAGCCTTCTGGGGTTAGGTTATCTTATCATAGTTTAGCCTAGCCTTGCATAGCTTAGCTCTCAGTAAAACCTAATACAGCTCAACACCATCCCAAACTGACAGTACAGTTAAATAACAACAAAATTAAACATTACAAACTTCATAAAGGAGGATTAGTTGCAGGACTGTTGTATTGCTGCATTAGTTTTTAAAACTGATTTCTATAATATGTGTTTTATCCTTTCTTCCTTATGTTTTGCATCGTTGCCTACAGCTGCTGCCTGTCCACACTCTGCGCCTTGGTGTGGAGCTGGACTCATTTGATGGACACCACTACATCTCCTCTGTGGTCCCTGGAGGCCCCGTGGACAAACATGGAGTCTTGAGACCAGAGGATGAGCTCCTGGAGGTAAATACATGTACAAACACAGTGGGACTAAATGAAGCTCCTACTGGAAGGCTGACAAGTGTTTGGGGATATTTCTCACACATTTTGGAAATAGCTGGGGTAGCTAGCTTTGTTGGAAGTTTTTTTTTCTAGAAATGTAAAAACTGAGTAACTACAGGCTGATGGAGCTGTTTATTTGAATCTATTACAGCAACAACAACCTCACAGTAAAATCTCAGTAAAGAGTCCCACAAGGCTCAGTACTGGGTCCACTACTTTTTGGTCGTCATGTGTCACTGTGATGGGTCATCACTAAGCAACAAGTGCAGTATTGCTCTTCACTTCTCCAGGTGAATCAGGGACATGTTGAAAAGTTGCAGTGATCACAGTCAGTGTTTCAGCACGACGCTGCACGAAGCTAATCAATCACAGTTTGCATTAAAACAGTGAGCTAGGAGGAGTTTTGTGGCTCCACATGATCAGTGAATGAGGTGATGTATTTATAATTAAAATGATATGTAGATTATTTGTAATCTGGTGTGTGTGTGTGTGTGTGTGTAGGTGAATGATGTTCAGTTGTATGGTAAGTCTCGTCGGGAGGTCGTGTCGTTCCTCAAAGAGGTGCCCCCTCCATTCACTCTGGTCTGCTGCCGACACCCAACCTCTGACATGGAACCAGAATCTGAATCTGAATCTGAACCAGCACCTGAACCAGCACTACGATCTGAACCAGCACTACGATCTGAACCAGTACTCCGACCAGGACCTGGACCACTAAGACAATCACAGCCCAGTGTGGAGGAGGTGAGGGCAAAGTATTTATGAAAATATTTTAAAAATTTTATGTAAAAAAATCACATAAAAAATGTTAGATTTATGTTTACTGTGATTACTTTTGTTACTGTTGTAAATCTTTGTGTGTGTAAACCTCAGATTGTCACTGTACGGTATGTAATCTGTGTGATCTCTATATTTGACCCACTGCATTGTGTCATGTTTGTTCAGATTGAGCTGAAGCTGTCGTCAATGCTGTGCAGTCAGACAAAACTGAGAGAGAGCGTTACTGAACAGCAGCAGGCAGTCAGACAGGTAACCTGTCTCACTCTCTGGTTTCACTACACATGCACAATGTCACATACACAGAGGAGATATTAGACAGTCAAAGTGAAAATACTTTTAAAGAAGAGAATGAAAGGCAAAATATTTCATCAATACATGCAACTGACAAATCTGCATTAAAGCACTCACACACATGCAGTTACAGCATCACAGTTAAAAGGATTGTTTTTTTTAAATTTGAGATGAAAAATTGCTGCTACAGGACGGATTGAGAGATGGAGGAAAATAGATCATTCTGTGACATTATAGACCTTTTAGTGCCGATGTCACGATGACATCATGTCATCACCTGGAGGTAAAGCTGCCTCTCCCCCACAGCGCTGTAGGCTACATAGAAGTCTCCACAGACGAGTGTCCAGAGTGCGCTCTGCTACTCCGTCTCCACAGACGAGTGTCCAGAGTGCGCTCTGCTGCTCCGTCTCCACAGACAGAGTGTCCAGAGTGCGCTCTGCTACTCCGTCTCCACAGATGAGTGTCCAGAGTGCGCTCTGCTGCTCCGTCTCTACAGACGAGTGTCCAGAGTGCGCTCTGCTGCTCCGTCTCCACAGACAGACTGTCCAGAGTGCGCTGCTCTGGATAACCCAACGCTACATTCAGACAGCGCTCCCAATTTATCAACGCTCCAGTTTGTGTCAGAGTGCGCTCCCACACTCACAATGAGTGTTTCTGAACGCACCACTCACATCATCTTCCTCCATCGTCTGAAACAAGACAACACAACTTGTTAGCTACCACTAGCTAATGTCTGTGGAGAACTGTTTTGCCTCCAGCTAAGCCCTGCCCACCAAAAAACATCATACTGTTTCCTTACTTTAAAAGGTCTATTAGTATGAGATTTTATTTAAAAATGAATGCACTTATATGGAAAATATATTGTTTATTATATGTTTTTGTCATTTTAATAGAAGATTTTACAAAAAATACAAAAGTACAACTGCAATATTGTGAGTTTATCTATTACTTAATACATTGTATTAGAAAATAGCACAATGAGCATGCATATGTGAAGAGCAGGAGAACATTCCAATATGATAATGATGATAACAGTCAAGTCAAAAGTGAAGTCAAACTTTATTTGTAGAACAGCAGCAGTCGACCAAAGTGCTGAACAGTCCTAAAATACAAACAACAGATAAAAACATAAGCAAAGAACAATAAGAAGAGAAGAGAAAAGAAACAGAGCAAACTGCAGCACAACAGAGGATGAAATCAATTGAAGTTGTCAGGCTGGAATCAATCGTACGCCAACGAGAAGAGGCAGGTCTTCAGTAGCCATTTTAAGGTTTCTGTAGTCGCAGCAGTTTTTATCTGAACAGCTGAGCTGAGGCTCCATCGCCACTGTTCATGTGTGTACTTCAGGGAACATCCAGGATCATGTGATGGGTCGACCTCAGAGCTCTAACTGGAGTATGAAGATACAGTAGTTCTGCTAGATAAGGTGGACCGTTTCAAAGCTTCAAAACCAGCAATAACATCTTAAAATCAATCCTAAAACGGACAGGAAGCAAGTGGAGGGAGGCCCACACTGGGCTCATGGGATCCCCTTTTCTTTCTCCAGTTAGAAGACGAGCAGCTGCGTTTTGTAATAACTGCAGACGACAAGGTGACGACTGAGCTCCGCCCACACACAAAGAATCACAGTTGTCTAGCAGAGAGGTATTCTGGTGAGATCATCCCGATTACGAGAGCTCAACATTCTGTTTTACTCTCTGTATCAGTCTGGTTTCGCCGCCGTCCCAAATACTTCTTAGAAATTAAAATCAAATCACAGCTGCTCAGGGATCCGCACCGTAGTCAATGACATAACATGAAGGCCACAGCTTGCGCTAACTCTAACGTTAGTAGGGTAAACATGGCAATAAGTGAAGTTATTGCAGAAATAGTCAATAACAACAATTAAATAAACACAAGAGAGTGCACCCAGCGAGTGTCTCAGAGGAAAAGACTTTTGCTGCTCTTCCGACAGGATTTGGCAAAAGCTTGTAATAAAAAAAATCACACCAAGATTTTGAACAGAAAGTTTCAATTCATCAACGTTTTGATATCATATAACTACTTTAGCAAAGGCTGTACAGAATCTTTGGCTTTTGTTTATCCAGGAAAATAGATCTGTACCAGCAGAATATTATCTTGATTAAAAATGGGCCCCAAGGGTAGCATATAGAGTGCAAATAGGATAGGGCCCAAAATGGAGCCCTGAGGAATCCCACAGGTAAGTGGGTTCACAGCTGAGGAATGTTTGCTGAGGCAAACCAAAAGCTCTGATGATGACGATGACGATGATGAAGATGATAATAGTACTGATGTCTTTTTTTAGACAGGGCAGATCTTAAGATATCTGAATTGATGTTTAAATTGTCCTATGAATATTTCAGTACTGGTCTAAGAGTCTGTTGTCACTGTCGTGTGTCAGGAGCAGCAGGTATCTCCTGTAGAGGAAGTGCTGACGGAGCAGACAACTTCACACAGCCAGGTGGAGGAGGAGGAGGAGGAAGAGGAGGAGGAGGAGGAGGAGGAGCAGGATGAAGATGAAGGGGAGCTGGCTCAGTGGTCTCCAGACGTTCAGGTGTTGGAGCTTCAGAAGGAGAGAGACAAAGGCCTCGGATTCAGCATCCTCGATTACCAGGTGACAACAATAACACCAACGTCCACAGCATCCTGTCTGTCTGTCTGTCTCTGTCTGACTATTTTTTTTTTTTTTTTTTTTTTTTTTTTTTCATCTTTCACATGTGTGATGATTAGTTTTGTACATAATGTTGAATCATACTTAAAAAACAGTGCTCAGAAATGAATGACTACAAACTGTCTGATTGGTCCTGACTGACTAACAGATAATCTGTGAGCTCATGTTTTATTTGCTGTGGCAGATGTTGGCAGATGCGTCTGGTTCCCTTCATGTTCAGACAGATTGAAAGCTGACCTGGGCCACTTCAGGCCAGACTATTGATTCAATATGTGGCGTGTTTGCGACGATGACTGACATTGTGCAGGGCCAACTGCAGAGCTTTTCATTGTTGCGTCACAAAGATTGCTGCAGCTGATGTGAAGCTTCCTCAAACTCTGATGTCACAAACAGCGACACTTGTTCACAGACATTGATGCTTCACCATCACAGTTCCTCTCTGCACGCTGGTGTCTGTTCACATTTGTCTGTCGCATGTTTTGTTGCTCTGATGAGTTGTAGGTCTATCCAATTATGTCCAAAGGTGTTTTGATCTACGGCCGTTGATAACCCTCCCTTTGGACTCTGAAAATGAGCTGAAAGGTTTCAGAATAACTCACATTTCTGATTTGGTCTGGCGATGCCAGGCTACCTGACTGGATGATGTGCAGGTGGAACAAGAGCTGCAAGAATTGATCGATTAATCAAAAGTAATTTGGCAACTACTTTGATAAATGTTTAAGCACTTTTTTAAAACAAATTACCCAAAAATATCAAATGTGAGGATGTGGTGTTTGTGTCAGTGATCCAACAGTAAACTATTTTTACACTGTTGGTGCGACAAAACAAGACGTCAGTGTGATGATGTGAAATCAGCAAGGACATATTTCACTATTTTGTACACAAAATTATTGATTGATGAATTCAAGTAATCATTAGCTGCAGCAGTTATTTTCCGTGACGTTTCAGAGGAACATAGTGACACATGTGGACGGTTTGTACAACAGTAACAGTGACATGTGTGACTTGGCTCTAGCTCCTGGTTATTAAATAGGTATGGCAACTTCCTCTCAGTCACACCTGTTCTGTCTTGTCTGTGTTGGCAATGAAATGGAACATAAAAGAACATTTAATTTTTGTGATGAAATGTCTGAAATGTTTGTTGAAGACATTTGAAATTTGGGGAGTAAAGTGGAGCACTCTCCTCACTCAAGAAATAAATCTGTATGCAAGGAAACAGCTGTCAGTTTAACAAAGTCAGAGTAAACTTTGGTCACTATGATGGTCATAGTGACCATAGTTCAGAGGAGTTTATTGGGTTGTTATAGAAGCTTGAAAATGTTAGGAGGTGTGTGTGTGTGTGTGTGTGTGTGTGTGTGTGTGTGTTAATAAAATCAAGTTTCATGTTGGATGAGGAAAAATGAAAGACATTGGCAGTTTAGTCATGAATCATTTACAGTGCGTGTGGTTGTCACTGCTGCACACTTTAAGCATCGTCAGTTTTTTCATCAGTGTTTGTGTTCATCTGTCTTCTGCCGGGTCCAGAAGATGTTTTAATTGTGTAGCTGTAACTATTAGTGCTGCTGTGGACTTGGTTAGTAGGTGACATCCTCATAACATAAACTGCATAATAGCACCTCAGGTCTAATCGTTTGTGCTGGTAGCAGAGGTGTTTTTGTTTTTTTGGTTGAAGCAAACAGAAAAAAAGCTGTTAAAGATTTGTAGTCCTTGGTCGCACTTCTCTGAAGTGTTTGGTCCTGAAACGCCTGTTGTTTTTGGATGAACTGTTCCTTTATCCAAAGTTAAAGAAAGACTGAAATCTAGTTCGGTCTGTATTAAATAAAACTGTATGACACTCTCAGAGAACCACGGTCACACAGAGTTAATTACCGCCCTGTGGTTGTTTCACAGTGGAGACGGATGAACACACGGTGAAGCTGGCGTGACTCAGCTCACAGTGAGGTTTCAGAGTGTAACAGTGGACAGCAGGACGGAGAGGAGTGACTCATCTGCTCACTGTTCTTCTTCTCTGGTGTCCTCTCTGTGTCACACAGCGTCAGGTCTGTTTGCAGGACCCGGCTGCTTTTATCTGCAGCTTGTTGCAGAAACAGAAAACATCATTCACTTTGTCAACTTTAATTTTTAAATTCATTCTCATGTGATGATGTTGATTTAAAGAGATGTTGAAGGGAAGAGGAGGAAGTGTTTGTTATCTGAACTGAAAGAAAAAGGTGTTGTATGCTGTGCTGACTGTTAAATGTCTTGATTTAATAATCAAAAACAGATTTTTTGTATCGTACATTTTTATTTTAAATTCATGATTCTTGACTTTTGCAGTTCTTGCATGTTATTTTCTCTCATGATGTTCATTATGACTGTTATGCATCAGAATCATGAGGCAAACTGTATGTGAAAACAGATTTCTGGTCAGAGCAACATAATGACTATAAATTAGTGGCTGTAAGTTACTAATTGATTAACCGACTAGCAGAAAACTAATCGACCAAAAATGCAAAACAATCACTCGTTCCAGATACTAAAATGTGAGGATTTGTTGCTTTTAATCTGCCAGGCAAATTGTAGACACATGAATCAATAAAGGAAATTGACATTGGTTGCAGTCATAGTGTAATATTATCCTCCTGACTGAGGCTACAGTATTCATTAATTTGTGAGGGAACTCAACTATTGGCAACATTTTAATGTCCACAACTGATGCACTGACTGTTGGTACATTGTTATTTCCAGTAGCGTCTTCGCTGTAAAGATGTTTGTTTTTTAGTCAGTGACATGATTTAAGTTCAAGTGCTGAGAGGACACATCCATGACTTGAAAATCAGCTGCTGAAAAACTACATGTTGTGTGTCTTGACATCCTTAAAATAGTCAACAAGCAAACATGACATTATGAGAATTCGATTAGTTAAGGCTAACCATAGTATGTCTTAACCTGGATCCTATTTTCCCATAGTTTTGTGTCTAAGTGACTAACAGGAATAATGGATGAGATACAATTAGATCCGATCCGATATGATAAGATACGATAAGATTCAGTAAGATATGATAAGATGCGATAAGATATGATAAGATACAGTCCGATAAGATATGGTAAGATGTGGTTAAGATGCGATCCAATAAGATTTAAGATACGGCCAGATGCAGTAAGATACGATAAGATACAATCTGATAACATATGATAACACTTGATAAGCTGTGGTAAGATAAGATACTATAAGATGAGATATGACGAGATATGATAGCATACAATAAGATACAATCCAATAAGATGTGGTAAGATACGATCAGATAAGATATTCCAATAAGATATGAAAAAAATACGATAAGATGTGGTAAGATACGATCGGAAACAATAAGACGGGATAAGATAGAATATAATACAATAATTTGGGAGAAGATATAAGACACGATAAGATATGATAGGATACGATAAGTTACTGTCTGATTACATATGACAAGATATGGTAAGATGAGATACAATCCGATAAGATGTGGTAAGAGGCGATAAGATGTGGTAGGATATGATCCGATATGATATGATAAAATAAAATAAAATGCAGTAAGATAAGCAGGACATATATGTCGTACGTGTGATCGGAAAAAAATGTTTGTGTGATGAATTTATTTTCCTAGTAGCAGGAGTGCGACAGACTGCTTGTGAGCTGAACAAAAAGAGCGAATACGACCAACTTAACTGCACACCTGAGAGTGAGAGACTGACAGTCTGTTTTTTGAATTTATTTATTTTTTTTGATATTTTTACGTGTTATTTCGGATATTTAAATTTTCTTTTTTTGCATTTGTAAATATTTTTGTTAAATAAATGTTTATTTCTCTTCAAAAGGGTGAACTTACATCATTATGCCTTTATTATCATTATATAAGTTTAAAAAATGGTCTAAAAACACCAAAATTACAACAATAATAAAAATGGTCTTAAAAGCACAATATTACGCAATATTATCGCTTATCGCAATAATTTCTGATGCAATTAATCGTCCAGCAAAATTTGTTATCGTGACAGGTGCTACAAACTTTCTGGCCTGTGCTACAAAATTATCACCCTCTGTACCACCAGTGCTATGCGCTAAAAAGTAAACGTACAGCCCTGATAAGATACAGTAAGTTGGGATAAGATATAAAAGATATGATATGAAAAGTTATGAAAATACAGTATGATAAATACAGATATGACACTGAAAAAGACGGATAAATAGGGAAAGTAAAGAAATAAATAATAAGAGTCATATAACACATAAAAGAAAAGTACAATAGAAAATAGAAACTATACAACAGCATAGAATAGAGATAATAAACGTAAAAGTAAAGTGACAGTGCTGCAGTCTAACAGGAAGAATTAATTGATTGAACTGGAGCTCAGATTCTGGAAACACATTGACATTGTTCCTGATAAACAGAGACGTCATCATGTGTCTAATGTTGCCTGTTTTTGAGTAGCACCAACCCAAAGCCCTCACAGGAGTCCTGAGACGACTTAAATCATTTCAGACTTTCTCAGATTTCTGTAGTGACTAAAAGATTTCCTGTTCAGGCTCGCTGCTGTCGGGGGAGTCGATTTGGGAAACCCTGGTCTGTGGAGTTTTTCTCCCCCACCCTGCTTCAGCACTTTATCTTTAGGCACAGCTTCACCTCCAAGACCTCTGCCTCCTCCTCGTCTCCTCCCTCCTTCCTCCTCCTGGGGGTGATGGGGGGAGCGGGCTCCAGGTTAACTCCCTGTTGGTCTACATGCATGTCAGCCTGCACATACAGTATCTGCCCAGGGGGCCTGTGTGTGTGTGTGTGTGTGTGTGTGTGTGTGTGTGTGTGTGTGTGTGTGTGTGTGGGTGGTGAAAATCATTTTTTTTCTCCACAACATTTGAACTAAATAATAAGAAATAGGAAATTAACACCTAAAGTTTATTTACATGCAGTCAGATGGAATAATAT